ATTTGCAGCATACACTAGTGCCCCCCCCCCCTTTACATATGTGTATATATCTGTACTTGCTTTACATATAACTACCTCTACGTACATACATACGTACTTACATACATACATATACTTAATTATTTATCCACCTTCCTACATCCTGCCCACACCTATATACGTATACCTTTACGTATACACATAGAAATACCTACATATGTCTACCTATACATTCACCCACGCATACACATAAACACGCACATTATACATACCTATATACACATACACATATATACATGCTTATATACACATGTAAATGTACACATTCATGCATGAATATATACACCATATGTGCAAATTTGCATATTTACGCCTTTAAACCCATGTATACCCTCATGTATAAGCACGGAACATACCCATATATAATGTACTCTATCACCAAGCTATATGGAACCTTATAGCCTTACGTAGACAACAGCAGCATACATACCCATGTATCCGCACATGAATTTAAATTCGCCTACACTCATATGAACCTGTACACATATATACGCATGTACATGCGCATATATGCACCTGCGCACTTTCGTGCCTACGCGCTCATACTCGCGCACGAACGTATGAACAGTCTGCATAGGCGCACACACGCACTCCATTATAATGAGCCCATGCATTATAATGTCCTTAAATTGTAGTGTTGCAGCAGAGGGATATATATATATATAATATATATATATATATATATATATATATATATATATGTATTATGTATGTATGTATGTATATAATATATATATTTATTTATATTTATATAGATAGACTGATAGATGTGCGTATGTACTACAGTACATAGAATTATATATATATATATATATATATATATATATATATATATATTATATATATATATATATGTGTGTGTGTGTGTGTGTGTGTGTGTGTGTGTGTGTGTGTGTGTGTGTGTGTGTGTGTGTGTGTGTGTGTGTGTGTGTGTGTGTGTGTGTGTGTGTGTGTATGTATGTATAGATAGACTGATAGATATGTGCGTATGTACTACAGTACATAGAATTATATATATATATATATATATATATATATATATATATGTATGTGTGTGTGTGTGTGTGTGTGTGTGTGTGTGTGTGTTTGTGTGTGTTGTGTGTGTGTGTGTGTGTTGTGTGTGTGTGTGTGTGTGTGATGTGTATGTATGTATGTATGTATGTATGTATGTATGTATATATATTTATACACACGCACACGCACACAGATATATATGTGTGTATGTGGTGTGTGTGTGTGTGTGTGTGTGTGTGTGTGCGTGTGCGTGAGCGTGTGTCCGTGTGTCCGTGTGTGCGCGTGTGTGCATTCTGTCATTTTTTTTCTAAACCAACAGTTTCTCATAAGTGCAATTTCGAGGGTCGAGATATATGCAACTGGCAGGTGAAATCGAACGACCATGGCACGCCGCAAAGAAAAGTTGTATTTACGTAAGTATTCCGTGTCCAGATAACTTGCCAGCAATTTCAGTGTCAAAAAGATATCCACGGGAAAAAATGTGTGTATATATATATATATAATATATATATATATATATATATATATATATATATATATATATTAGATATATTAGAATAATAACATGGTGCTGGACGGGAAAATAACGAATGTATTGAAACATAATCGTTAAAGTTTCCTTTTTTTCTTCCTTCTTCTCGCTCTCATTCTCCATCCTTTACATTAGCTGGGAGTTCTTGCGTGGGGTGGAAGTCGCAAACAACTCTGACCAGATGGTCTACCAACCCCCGATGGACCATACGCACGCAGATGCAGACAGCTACTACATGTTTACATCAGCTGTGAAGGGAGAATATGAAGATTCAACAGACCTTATTATGTCTATCCCAATAGGTAATGACAAAGATTAATTGTTATGTTATATTCCGTTATATTTCCATATTGTTTTGTTTCTTTTTATTTATTTTTTTCCACTTCATTTCCCACACGTATGTTGTTTATTATGTATATGAAATTTGCCTGAACATGAGTAGACTTACTCAGCACTCATACTATAATGTAAATCTAAGGATGCATTTAGGATGAATAGTGTAACCACATTGAGAACCGGGTGTTTCATTGTTTATATTCGTTCATTCTGGATCATATTTGCTTGTTGAGCCAAAATCATTGGATAGACAATGATATTTTCCCCTAGAATATTTTAGGCATTAATCACAATGACGTATGCTCCTAAAATGCTTCATTGTGTAAATACTAGGTACCACTAACAATTTCTGTAAACCCAAAATAGGTGAGTCTGGTACCACATGTCGACTTCGCATATGGTACTGGCTCTACGGTGTCACGCCTGGCTCTCTCCATGTGGGGATTGTATCAGGTTCAGAAGAGGTCACAGAAAAATGGATGACAGATGGAAATCATGAAAAAAATTGGAATGTGGTAAGCGTCTATGATATACGGAAAGAGAGAGAGAGAGAGAGAGAGAGAGAGAGAGAGAGAGAGAGAGAGAGAGAGAGAAATTCGCTATCAATCATAGTCCTTTTATCATGATGTTATTTGTAGAATAGAAAAGCTAAACTATTCATTACAGAAGGAAAACAATAGAGACCAATATACCACAGTATATCTGCAGTATCCTGCATTTATCATCATAACTGAGCAATACCATCAGTTTACATGTCCCTCCTTGCGTTCCACCCGCAGGTGGAAGTGCCTCTTGGCCACGTCGTGGACCAACGAGTCTCCATCACGGCAAAACGCGGCCGTGTCTACGAGGGGGCGGGGGCCTTGGACGACGTGGAGTTCGTTGACTGTGCACCACCCGTTCTTCCTCCTTCAGGTAGGCTTTTGGTATAGCGATGGTAGGTTATGGTTAGAGTAAGAGAAATAATAATTAGTTTAGTGGTAGCTTAGAGTTTTTATTTGTTTTTGTGATTACTTTGCGTAATGATATGAACGGAGAACATACCAAATCTGAAAAAAGGCTTCATTTTCATTAAACGGACTATTTTTTAATCATATATCTTCATATCGTGCGAAAATGTGGATAATAATGACAAAAGAAATAAATTGATAAAAATGTGGATAAAATGAATAGATAGTGCATCATCTTCCATTTCGTCATTTTGCTTCCATCTGATTTCAGGCAAACTGATTCTACAACTTCCAAAACGATTTTAGTCTTTCCCAGAATGCTGCAACACACTAGTTTCCACTTCTTTTGGCTAAAAAATCAAAAGTACTGCAATCTATCCCCAGGCTTGTCGTGTTCCGAGCTGTCGCGGTATGAGTGCAACACGGGCGCCTGCATCGACAGTAGTCTTGCGTGTGACTACAGCGACGATTGCCTCGACCTCTCTGACGAACTCGGGTCTCTTTGTGCATCGTTTAAGTACCGCTGTGACTTCGAACATGGACTCTGCTCTCACTGGACGGAAGAGGTCGTTGACAATGCGAACTGGATACTCCTCAAGGCTTCAGCAGATCCGCTGGGTACACTGCCAAATGGGGATCATACCCACTCCACGAGTGATGGTGAGTCTGAACTTCGGAATTGGTTGTTGCTAGTTTTAATAGCTTGGTAAAAGGAGATTTGCGTGTTTATTTCCTCACCAGTAATGATCACCAGGGAGAGATCGCAATGTTATTTAGAAATGGTTTCAACGTTCTTCTTCGGAAGTAATGGTAAACTAAATCTTTGAAATTGATTGATGTTCCTTTTGGCATTTAGGATTTCATCAGTTTATTTACATGTTAATAGTTATGGAATGACCACACAGGCCCAGTGTTTGAGTAAATCAAGGGTAGTCCGTAACCGGCTTATTTCACCGAAATGACCCCAAAACGCCCATTATTCAGCGCAACACCAAAGCACCACAAAATAACCACCGGCGAATCACTACCGCAACACGAATTGCAAGCAGCGCAATCCAGCGAAAATCCCCAAGGGAACACCTATGATGATTGCACTGATATTCGTCAACTTACGTCCCTCACAGGGTAGTGTAACAGCACTGTTACTCTGGCCGTACGCCCTCGTGCGCCAAAAAACACCAGCGAAAGCGGAAAATGCAAGTTCTTCGATGATATTGACGAATCACAGGCGCAAGCCGGCCCGTACCACTGGCGTGACAAACGTTTGAGCAGCGTACGACTACCGCGAGAGTACCGATACCTGGCGATTTTTTTCGCCGATAGTTTCAGGGTTGTCCCATACTTTACCGACGAATTTTCCGGGGTCTCCTCGTCATCAGCGCACCCCAAAGTAAGCCGGCGCTCCATCAGTGCACCACTGGCGCGATTGACGAATGAGTAACACACCACCGACGTTTGGGCCTAAAATTTCTAAGTCCGTTGCGCTACTCTTACGTTAAACATGTCTGACCAGGGGTCGGATTCTCAAACGCGTTAAGGCGCCGTATCTCCTTAAGGCGCTTTAACTTACGGCCAGCGATCTTACGGCCCATGCACAGACCGAGGGACCCGCCATATTGGCGCCCTCCGTTAAGGCAGGGGGAGAGCAGCCTTAGTGAGTTACGGCGTAGCATAAATGACATTTATCAGCCCTAGAACAATTAATATAACATTACAATTTGTATTTTACTCATTTATAGTGCCATTAGGTGTACATAAATCAATTGTAGACTACTAGATAAGGCAACAAGTGTAGTATTCCAACATCACTGTGATTTGCTTTTCCCGATAGATGCAACCACATACCGTTTTTTTGAGTGAATAGAATAATGTTGTAATGGCTTTCGTCGTATTCCGAGCGAATCTAGCGCTCATTTCCTTCGCAAACGAAGTATAACTACGATATCGGTACCGATAGCTAAGGAGGGCATGATACCTATCAGTTAATTTGGGGGGTAATTTCGAGATATATCGGTAGAATATTAACAAGCATAGTATATTGACACATTTCTTTTGCCACGTGATGACGTATTCCATATCTGATTGGTTCTACTGAGTGTCTATCTTCTTATCACGTTCACGCTCGAATC